ACAAAAAGTTAATTTCTGATACATAAGTAATCATAAAAAATAATAAAAATGTAATGCAAGTATTCAAAAGTTCAATGTGATTACTGAAATTATGCTTTAAATGGAACTCAACTTTTAACCACAGCAATTACTGAAGTGTTTCAGGACCTCAAAACCTCAGAGACGTGGGTGGCTCTTTTAGATGGCAGACTTTTTGGAGGAGGGAAAACCAAAGGAAGGAAGTCATGACTTCCTTGCTCTGTGGAGAGTTCTTACTATTACATTTCCTGTCAACGTCTAGCAGTCGAAACACTTTCTTGTATAGCAGTTAGCAGTGGTCCTCTCTTCTGAGTGTAAAGCAAAAAGAAGAGAAAGTATATGGTGAAGAGTAGAAGGAAAAGAAGAGATAGAGGCCAGAAAAGTATGTGACTTAAACAAAAAGAGAAAAAAAAAAAAAAAAGAAAGAAAACCCTCAGGCACAACAGTGACCATTACCACAGACAAATGGAGATTTCACATTTCGATGCCTAACATTTGAAAGTTTAAAATGCCAAACAACAGAAGCAAACTATCTGAAAACGCAAAATTTCTCAGAAACATAACACTGGTTGATGAACTCAGTATTCAGAGTCTACTTTAGAGGAAAATGCAACAGATAGTACAACTTGTCATGAGTTAAAGGTTGGGTCAAATGCCAAAGTTTATGAGTTGATGTATTCTTCAGAGTGTTTTATCCTGTCCAACATAAGTGTGGATTTTAGCACTATGCATGCAACAGTTCTATCTGCTTTTGAAACTTGTTCAGCATTTTTTCAATTTAGGGACAAAATTCATACTGACATCCTGTGTTAATTATGTATTACGTTAAAGCATTTCTTCCTCCCTGCTCCATTTTTAAACTGGTGTCATCTTTCTGTTCTGCTTAACAGAAACTTTCTACCTTATAAGAAAGAATAAAGACAAGAAGTGGGTAGGTCTGCTATACTCAGCAGTAAAACAACTCGGTGCTTGGCAAATCAGGTGAAAAGACACAAACTATCAAAATCCAAATTATTATTCTGTGTGGAACTCCAGTCAGTGCTGAAAACATAAAATTAATATTTCTGTCAATAAAGACAGATATCTAAATACAAAGTTTATCCCAGCTCACTGAAATTTCTTTCCAGTAGGAAGCAGGAGACTATGACAATTTATAGGTTATTTACTCCTGAGACATTTTAGTGAGTTCTCAGTCCCTGCATCTAATTGCATCCATTTAGTTACTGGTTATACTGGACATACCTGAAATATGCCTGGGATCTATTTAAACTTGGGGGGGGGACGGGTGTGTTACATATTAGTTGTACTGCATATGGATTCTTAACCAAAATTCCTGTCTGTAGAAGTGCATGATTAAAATCTCAAGGGGCTGAATTTATAAGACTGACATATGAGGTGGGGGGAGGACAAGAGAGAGAATATATACATCTAAGGAGCCAACACTACCAGCAGCAGATCATGAACATTTTTCAGTCACAGAATCACAGAATCATTCAGGTTGGAAAAGACCCTTGGGATCATCAAGTCCAACCATCAGCCTCACTCTATAAAGTTCTCCCCTGCACTATATCCCCCAACATCTCATCTAAACGACCCTTAAACACATCCAGGGATGGTGACTCCACCACATCCCTGGGCAGCCTACTCCACCATCTGACTACTCTCTCTGTGAAATTTTTTCCCTAATGTCCAGTCTAAACCTCCCCTGTTGGAGTTTAAAGCCGTTCCCCCTTGTTCTGTCACTAATCACCTGTGAGAAGAGACCAGCACCAACCTCTCTACAATGTCCTTTCAGGTAGCTGTAGAGAGTGATGAGGTCTCCCCTCAGCCTTCTCTTCCTCAAACTGAACAGTCCCAGCTCCTTCAATCGCTCCTCATAGGATCTGTTCTCCAGGCCCTTCTTCTCTCTTGAAATGACCATATCTTTATTTTTTGCTGATATTAAGCATGCAGTTCAGGGAACAGTTGTAGGAAAGGCTAGGAGACAAGTATGAATGAGAAGGTGAAAAGAAAAGGTGTCAAGAAACAGATACTAAACCACATACGTGTTGTTAATTTACCTGCTACAATACTGGTTCCTACCTTATTCAACAGCCTCATGAACAGACTAGAAGAACTGTTGAAAATAAGACACTGAACAACCCATGGCAACTTTGCCATGACTCAGTCATGTCCATCTGTCTTACAGGATTGCCAGAAACTGGACTTGAAAGTGAAACACCACTTCCTCTACTGGACTACAAAGGGAAGGGTTTCTTGCAGGGATAGTTTTGAGGATTATGTTTTACATGGGTTATGGGACTTGTTCTGAAAACAAATGAAAGACCTTCAAATGACCTAGTACAAGACCCTAGTACTTGTTAAAGCATATGGGCATTCAAACCCAATATTCAACATTGTTTCTCTCAATATCAGATTACTATAATTCTAATTTTTCACAGGGTTGATCTTGGTCAAGATAGGACATGGTTGTCTAAGTTCTTATCCCACTTTTGGAACAAGTGTTTTTTTATAGTGAGAAGAAATGGGTCTAGTTTCTTTAGCATGTCCCACAGATTAGGCCCATTCCAAAGATCAAGTCAGATTTACAGCCAGGTTTTCAAGGTTTTCACCCTTTATTATAGTTTTTTAGTCTTGAAATGCAAGTTCAGATCACAACAGCAATTTAAAAATTGTATTTACTGGCATGATGTTAAATAGTACTTTAAATTAAATACTTGATTATAAGGATGGATGATGGCCTGGAAAATTTTTTTAATAATAACAGTGGTCCATTGATGCAAAAAGCCTGAGAACCTCTTGTATCTGTTAAATGAAGATCTCCTCTGTCTCATGGAGGGACTGAGGAAGCACTTGTCTCTATAGGAGAGATTACATCCATGTGACTTTCAGACAACATGCACATACAGGATCTTATTAGCCATTCCTGGCCTTCTCCAGATCATGTACTTCAAAGGCACAAAAAATAAATAAATTATTTTCCCTTGTATTTCCTACATCTTATTCTGCTTTATCCATTTTAAAAGTCACTGACAGACTCCAGGAAACAAACAGTCTAAAATCCTTCTCCTCCAAAAAAGTAACTGGCATTCAAAAAAAAAAAAAAAAGGCAGCACTTTCTTGCAGAGCAGACCACATAGTTCTTACTCACTCGTGCTGCAAGCCAAGGTTGGGCACTCACAGGCATATCCCATCATGTGCTTGGACACACCACTGGCTCTGGAAACCCATTTATCCAGTGGCAATGAGTTCTAGAGTTGAATTATGCTCTGTGTGAATAAGTACTCCCTTATATTCATTTCAGATATAGATTTACTGTGGTTTCCATCACACCTAGAATGACACAAAACATGTCCCTACACTTAAAAGTAATAACAAGTTATAAAGCAGAATTTAGGCTAAAACAATTAAGAAAAAAATAAATCCCTGAACAGCTCCCCCACCCACCCATCTTGTACAATGAAATCACGTTTTAACCACTGCACTGTCCCTGAAGCTACACTAGCCTTTTTCTTTTAAAGTTTCCTAGCAGGGTTACCACCAGCACAGCTCCAGCTGAGCCACCAGCATTTTCAGTAATGTGTCTTCTAATCATCCTCAGAATAGCCAGAAGTAAGTTACTGCTGCTTTGAAACAGAATTTACATTAGAAAAAGTCTGTCTCTTATTAGCTAGGCAGAGTACTGGAAACACCAGCAGCCAGTTGTAAAAGTTCATTTGTATCCAGAATTCCAAAGCCATTATTTAATTTGTTTGGAAAAAATGTAACTTGAAAAAAAAGCCAGCAAAATAATTAAATAAGAAGACGTGTTTGTTATTAAAGATCCATAAAAATGCAAGTAGGCTTGAAATCCAAAGGATCTGAAAATTAACACTGCAAGTACATAAAAAGAAAAGCATACTGAATAGGGCTGGCTGGGAAACAACAATTCCATTTTACTAAACATTTCAAGGCTTTGAAATTTGTTTTTGTTCCAATATGAAACAAAAATGAGACTTTCTGAAAGTTTTCATGAAATGAGAATGAGAGAGAGAATATTCACTCCCTCTGGACCTGAAAAAAATCTTCCCAACAAAATTGTCTCCAAAATAGATAATGTTTCCATGAAACATTCTGGTTTTGATGAAACAGCATTTTTCAACAGGAAAAAAAGTGTCAGCAGAAATATCATAGCCATTCTAATAGCAAAGGCTTATCTAGATCGGATGCTTGTACGAATAAATTATGTTGCGAATTGAACCAATCTAATTATATTTATATAGGTCCCCATGTGAATATTGTATCGCTTTCCTTAGAAAGATACTCTGTAAGATACTTGATCTATTTAAATTTTTTTCTTGATTAAAGGTACTTTATTTTATTCAAATAATGTAAAAAGAATCACAGAATAAGCAAAATCTGAGACGTATCATAATTTGTTACTTATTGGGGGGGATTTTTCTATAAACCTGTGGACATTCTTATTCCAAAATAAGAATGGCTTTCCAATTGGCAAGATTTTTTTTTTTTTTAAAGAAACTTAAACTGTGCTCCTGAAACCATATAGACTTAACTGAATTAAGCTCTCGTATACTAAGGGAAAATCTGTGCTTGAAGCTTCAACCCATACTGGGCAGCACTGTAGAAAAACATACTGTAGTAAACAGTTCTGCAATGAAAGGGAGGTGAACTAATGTTTTTAAGTCTTTGAACCTACTGAAGAGGAAGAAAGCACTCATGTTCTATGAAATATTGCATACAGTAATTCTTCTCTAATCCTTTCTCTGCCAAGCTTGCATTTTTGTGTTAGCTTATTTATCCTCATTTTGGAGTATGGTCGGCTGAAGTACTATTGGATGCCCCAAAAATGGCAATGAGGACATTTAATTGAACAAAACCAGATCCAGTTGTTGCAAAGAATATTGATCACAGAAATAAACAGAACGGCAGATCAGCTCTGCCTGCCACAGCATGCAATATATGCTCCCAGGAATTGTTCTCACCTTCCTCTTGTAGTTCTTTGCAAAATTTTCATTCCAGCTAAGCAGCAGAATTTTCCTTCCCATCTTCTGCAATACTGCTCAATGTCATCTGCAGAACTTAGGGACTGCAACTGCACTTCACTGAACATACCATAGGCATCCTGGACAAGGAGACATAACCTGCAAAACATTTCTTCATTACTCATTGGCTTCTGTTCACAACAAACAAAACTAGCAAATTTTTGAAAAATTATAATACAGTCTTCAGAACAGGCCTTATTCTCTACAGTATCTAGAGTATTTCTACCGAATAATATATGAATAAACAAACCCAACATTACTAAAGGTTTCCTCATGTATATTTTCAGGATGTAACAGGGCCATGAAGTAGAGAAGCATGAATGAAAAAAAGCATAAAGGGCTTGCAGTGGGGATTAGACAAATTAACTGCTACGTACTATGTGATTTGCATACTTAAAAAGAAAGAAAGTTGAGTTTTTGCCTTATTTGAGGTGAATTCTGCAATGCAGACAGAGCAATGATCAAACATATGCGAGTGTGTGTGTATAAATATAAAAATTCTGCATAGAAGTAAACAAAGCAACATATTTCACAAGTAATAATCACCAACACTGAAACTGGCAAAGCAAGCATTACATTTTGTGTAACTTTTTTAAGAGTCCTGAGGATGCAAAAAAGGAGTGAAATGTCAATTTTTCTTTTTAAAAAAAACCAACAACATGAAACTGCAGATTAGTACATTCAATATTAGGTATGAAGAAGCCCAGAGGAACTAATTTAAGGAGGTAATTAAAGAATCTGCTAAACGAACAATTTCATTAAAGTAATCTATGGAAGTAGGGGCTGTAGGGCCGGGAAGTATTGCTTAACCAACTTGCTGGCATTTCAAAAAGATATTACTGTCATAGCAGATAAGGCAAAATCAGTGGATGTCATACATTTAGATAGTCAAAAATGCATTTCACAGGATTCTGCATCTGAGATGAGCAGCCACGATAGCATGAGTCATGCAGTACTGGAAGAAGGAGGCTGCTGTCTACAAGACTGGTTTAATTACCCCAGAAAGAGACAGTTAAGCATGGAAACTTTTCAAAGGAGACAAAAATTACCTTTGAAGGTAGCACACACATCTTTACTTCTAAATAAAACTCAGGGGTGCACTAGGCAGCAGAATTCAGTTCATTTCAAAGTTACATGCCAAAACTACCTTCTCCAGAGCAGCACCACTGTTCACAGCAAACCAACTCCAACTGCTTTTGGAGCACATCAAATAACATATATGCATCCTGAAAGCATTCAACCATAGTCATTGTATCTTTGTAAAACACATTTTAAATGAAATGAGCTCCTATATTTCTCTGGAAGAAATCCACATATTTTCTTCACAGAGAAGCTTAGGAACACGGAAGACCATTAATCACAGTTTCCTTGTTCATTATAAACTAACTTTGGTTTACACCCTTAAGAGGGCTGTATTCGACATAGGATACAACCCTAAGGCCTTTCAGACATCAGCAGCTGTGCAAGCACCAGCTCATAGTCGTCATTTCTCAGATTCTGGTGGTGGTTTTGAGAAGCAGGGAGTGGTAAGACTGAACACAAATGAAGGGTCCCATTTTTCCCGTATCTCTAGTGCCAAAGGTCCCACACAAACAGAGTCTTCACCAGGGAAAGAAAGCTTAGGTACAATTCCTCCACAGACTGACAAGGTTAAGAAGTCCTTTAGAGCCATGAAACACTGTTCCTACCCTGAGCAATGACAAATATGAGGAAACCACTGTTGTGATGTGTAGGCTGGAAGGATACATACCCTCATCTCTGGGATGAGTGGTGCTCCCAGCCTAGAAAGCGGGTGACTGTCCTAACACAAACCTGTATCTTCAACAGCTCTGTCACTATTCTAATCTTCTGTGTAGAACAATCTGTGAGATGCCTTCTGGATTCGTACCACAAGATCATCTCCAACTCAAAAGAACAAAGACTGATGTGCTATGAACATGACAGCTCTGAAGAAGAAAAACTATGGTTGCCTGCTGCTTTCCATGTTAGGACCTTGCAATCAGTTAAAAATTCTCCCGGGTTTTAACCGATTTTACTGAAATTCCTCATGCTATTGTTTTGTTTGGAAAAACAGAGCTAATATGCTCTGGACATTTCTGAAAATCAGATTGAGTGGAACAGGAAAAACAAAGCAAACAGTTTTGCCTATGTTAACAAAACATTCAGTGACTGTGAAAAATTAGGCCTCTGTATCTTGGAGCAAGCCAGGGCCAACTGAGTTAGTGTCTCGGATATGATCAGTTCATCAGTCTCTTAACTGATCACTGGAATTTCTCGTATCTTTAGTGAGACATAACTGAACACAAGTTAAGTCTCAGACTAGCTGGCACCAGGCTCATATTAAGTCCTCAGGGACTTGTTAATTGCCCAAATAAAATTAGCTTGGTTACTGTCAAAGACATCAGTCACTAAAAGTTCATTTTCCCAGTTCTCTTAAGCCATGTGAAGAGATGGCTGCTGTCAGACATGGTTGTCTCAACACCCTGCATCCCTGGCCACATATTTCCATGCCTTTGTGGTGGCAGCATAAATGGCTAGGAGAGGAAACTGTTCTGACCAAAAAAATACTATAGCCAAATAATCATCATTCTCACCATGAGATCAGCTCCTTGAAAATTAACTCTGTAGAAGTAAACTCACACTTGCATGGAGTACTTCTTCTAGACAAGGATGTATTTTCCAGGACGCTGAAGCTCCCACTCCAGCTGTCTAGTGTATGCAGCACTACACCCCAGGTCTTATGATCGATATACAGAAAGAAGAACTGTCTAACTTGAGGCTTATATCACTAATGTTCCCATTCACGGTAGTACGTTCATGACTATTGGCACCATGAAGAAACACAGAGCAGCACACCTACTGCATCTATTTTGCTCTATTAGGACAGTACATGTGAGCAGACTTCCACTATAGCTCACTTGTTCTAACAGTAACATGATTTCTCTGCAACATACATTGAAGATGAAGCATATACATTCACTCACTTGGAAGACAGATTTCATAACCAACCTTCAGATGACCAGTTTCAGACTAAAAGATGAGGAATATCCCAAACTAATGCTATGAAGAGAACCTCACAAACACGTTCCCTGCTTCAGCACACTTTCAAAACAGTACGAATGAATGATGACAAAAACTTGAAATATTCTCAACATCATTTAATCTGTCTCACACTAATTTAGTAATTAATGCTATAGGTATTGAATGATGAGTGACAACTGATCTTCCTACTTAATAGCTATCATGAAATCAGCTGAATCCCACAACAGACTCAGCAATTCATTTGGAGAACCATTTTCACATTCTCTGAAGCAGGTTCTGTTCTTACAGGTTTTGCACGTGCCGTTAGCACCACTAACAGTGGTTCAGCTGCTTTCAGAGGCTGTTGATTCATGGCCTTAACTTTTTTCACCAGTATTGTTTTCTTCCTTGATTTCACTTTATTCCCGAAAAAGTGCATTTGTATTATTTTCCCATGTTACGGTGTTGCTCTCATATTGCAGCAAACGTTCTTGCAAATTAAGTTGTAGAGCAAATCTAACTGTGAATAAAGGAACAGTTTGTCCCATGATTTTTCCCCCCTTTGAAGCTCACTACCAGGATGAAAGCCACATCTAAACTATGAGACAAGCTGCAAATCCAAAACGAGCATTTGCCCCCAGGAATTCAGCATTTATATTTTGTGCACATCTGCCACAAATACTTTTTTTTTTCCATAAAATGTGGGGTTTGTACTGAATCAGTTAATCCGCTAAAATACCTTTACCAATGTCTTGTCAGTATGCATAGCAGTGAACTGTTTAAAAAAAGGGCAAGATCACCATTTTTATCAGCAGTGCTCATGAAAGGAGGAAATAAGGGCCATCTTTGTTTCTGGGACAACAGGATGCAACCCTGCATAAAATCTCAATTTAAAATATGGTTTTGGAAACTAAAATTTCTCAAGCAAAGGAGTAGAAAATTCACTCCAGGAGCAAGGGATAGCTGGAAAGCTGGTAGAAGAGCAAATGTAGGAGATGCAGACTAAGGAAAAGGTGAAGTATGACTCATTTGTAATAACAAAGGGGGCAAAAAGAGCGAATGATAAGAAGTGAGGAAGAGAGTAGCCTTTTTTTTCCTTTTCTTTTTTCCTTTTTTAAAAAAAAGGTAACGACACAGTAAATCTTATGCAAAAGCTTGGGAAGATTCTGTTAATTTGCTAATAGCCAAGAGCAAGGATGGGGGCTGGGGGAAGATGAGACTGATTACTCTGCATTATTTCTATGACTCTGCTGATCTTTAGGACAAAATGTCTCCCAGTAGAAATCTGGAGAGGATTACAGGATTACACTGCCATGCCCTTCTCCTAGTTAGTCACTCCTCATGGGTAATGGGTAAAGCCTTCTTTTACTATTAGTTTTTATGCATGAAAAATCGTATCTCCCCATACTACTGCCTCGTATCCGTCAGCTGACTTTCTGGAGAGGTAGGGGTGACAAAAACCTTCAGCCTCCTCAGCAGCTAGTGGAAAAGAGTAAGAAAAAAGGTCCTCCTGAGGTGAGAGCGCACAGAGGCCAGAACTGACTGACGACACAGGGATTGCCTTTACTGAGTCATGTGAAAACAAGCAGCAGAAATCTGTCATGAACAGATCTTAACAAATAATTGTTTTACCCTTGGGTAGGAGGACAACTGCGTGGCCCACAGCAGCTCTTCTCCATACATAACTAAACTGTGCAGTACAGCATGAGGAGGAAGACAGCCAGGCAAATGCCACCACCTTCTCAGTGCTCAGCAGGGACTTCATTAGTTACTCTTTCTTTGGAAGGGAGGGAGAGGGCGGAATGGGAAAATGCCTGAAAACTAGCTGAATTGTATTAGCTCTGATATTTGCTTGTTCTTTATCTTAAGCATCCAAGAGACAGCTGCTGCTGCTTTGTTTGTCGGAAGGACTTCTTATCTCTTTGAGGTGCGGTCCTAGCAGAGGCATAAAGCACAGTACATAAACACACATAAACAAAAACCCCCTCTCCCTTAATCACCAGAGGCACAACACTACCCACACAACTCCAATTCAGCGACTTGTCTGGTCAAGTCTCAAGGTGGAGCTGATTAACTCC